CCAATTAAACATCATGAAATGTTACCAAATTCAATCCGAGGTATTATTATAGGTCCTTCAGGTTCTGGTAAAACACAATTATTGTTGACGCTGATAATGAAATACACCAATTGGGATAAATTATATCTAATTGCACCTAGCGTAGATGATCAGGATTGTTATACTGTGTTGAAGGATTTTAATTCTACCGCAGCGGATAATTTAGGTTTTGATCCAGTGGAATTTATCTATGATGTTACAGAATGTCCTGGCGTAGATGATTTAGATGTATCGTTAAATAACATGATTGTATTCGATGATGTTATGCTAGATAATCAGAAAGGACCGGCTTTGTTATTTTCACGAGGTCGTCACAAACACGCTGATATGTTTTATTATACTCAAATTCCTAAGGTTATTCGTGACAATTGTAATTTTCTTTGTGTATTTAATGGAGTAGATAAACATACATTAAAAAATATCTGGTATACGTGGTGTTCTGACATGGATTTTAACAAATTTAATAATTTCTTTAGTCATGCTCAACAGACTCCTTTTGGATTTATTACGATAAATTTAAGTGAGCCTCGAATGAGGTATCGTATCGGGTTGGATAAAATTTTCACCTAAAATATGATTTTCATAATCAACGGGGGTGACCTAATTTTTTGCCACCCAAGACCAGCGGGGGGGGGTTATAGTTTTTTACAAGCCTCAGAACGGAAAACGCAGCCCTTGTGTTGACTTTTTATATTTTCTGTGTTTGTAATCATCACGGAGGTTTAGGAAAAGTTCTGGGTCCCCCCCCCTCTGCTGCTACAATGGTATCGTAACGACAGCAAAAAGTCAATAGATGACAAGAAAGTTTGTTGTTGTAGAGTTTAACGCCATTTTCAGCACAAGATAGGCTATACCTGGCGTATAAATGATTGAGGAAGAACCCGGGTAAACCGTGGAAAGAACCACCGAATTACGAAAAGCTACTGACAAGCTTTTTTACATACCCACATTGGCTGAACGAGAGAGAGAGAGAGAGAGAGAGAGAGAGAGAGAGAGAGAGAGAGAGAGAGAGAGAGAGAGAGAGAGAGAGAGAGAGAGAGAGAGAGAGAGAGAGAGATTGCTCAAATTCTTATTCATTCTCTTATTTGGAGTGGTGTCTATGGGTGGTGATGCCGTAGGAGATATCAAGGTTTACTGATCTTTCTAGATCAATACAAATTATAATTGACCCAAATAACTTCCAGCGAGCACATCAGAAACGATACAATGTAATTAATTTTACAGACAGGATTGCATAGATTAGAGAATTTTAATTACAAATGGGTAACACTATTTAATTAATTGCTACTTAAAGAAGCGATAACATGGTTTCTTAAACTTCAAAGTTTACAGCACTTCAAAACAGTTTTGACACAAACCGTGATATAAATGTATATGGGAGTCAATGCACCCGTATCTTCACGCCAGTGTTCAACTATTCAAACCACGGTGGTTAATGTTGTTACGGTTGAGTAACCTAACTTTACAACCATTTGTATATGTTTGTTGGATCATTTGGACTTTGTCAATTGTCGTTGAAGTTTTGAAAACTTAAAAATTACAAAGTTAGCTTGCTTGTCCTAGTGACAATTGTTTTGCTATTTACCTGTCGATGTTTGTATGCTGTACTCGGTTATAATAAGTAGAAAACATCAAATGTATTACAAGTAGATTTTAGCCTATATTGTCCTCTATTGCTGACTGTAAAAGGCATTTGCCCTGAAACAAAAGTCTCCGAATCAGTGCAAAACTTCCACGTAATATAAACCACAAGGATTAAACAAACTCACATTCAAAATTGGTGACTCACAAAAAAACTTTGGCTCCATGCACTTCAAATACCATTTTACGGGATCGCTCCGTTGACCTAAGCGGTTAGAGAGTTCGCCTCAGATGCGGTAAGTCGCTGGTTCGAACCTCGGTCAAGTCATGCGGAAGACATAAAACTGGTACCAGCAGCTGCCTTGCTTGGTGTTCAGCATTAGAGGTTAGTGTTATGATATTTTCGGATTTGTTTCAGGATAATGTGACTGGGTGGTACGGATATCATGCTATATGTCTGCGGCATAATGTGCCACTGCTAGACATCACTATAAACGGCCACACTGCAGACATCATTGGGATATGAATGAAAACATTTTAAAGCTACCTTATAAATCCAAATACTTTGTACAAATTTAAAATCTTGTTTTACAGATTTAAGAGCAATAAATCTGATACATTAAACGAAAAAGTGAATGGCCATTTACTAAATTTAGAATTTGCAGTGATGCTCCCCCATACAAACTTTTTCCTCAGTTATTCACTTCCTCCCATCCCAGGTCTAGTCATTCTCACTTCTGGTCTGTCCCCAGCGCAAAGTTTAAAGACTTGTATGCACACCTAACAGCCACCTTTATTAAACGCAAAAAATTACTGTTTCTATGTTAAATGGTTTAGAAGTTATGCTAAACTTGGCACCAATATTCTCACACAATGCTGGACAATATAGCTTTCTCCCAACTCGCCAACACAAAGTCTTGCATTTTCTTTCAAAAGTACGCGGTATCCTAAGGACAGGCACTTACCCCCAATCTCATAGGCATTATTTGGCTGAATAAAGTGGGGGGAGGTAAATAAAATAAAAATTGCCGTTAACAACAGCTATCAAAATACAAAGTTGACTGCTGTAAAACATACTTGATGAAAAAATAAAATCATAGGGATTAATGCGTATTTTCAAGGATTTTCTATCACTGATATTGTTTTACAGCAGTCAAACGATAAAGTAACATGTGAATAAAATAAAGATGACGAGAAGAAACCTATGTATAGAAGTAAGAGGATTAAAGAAAACGGACAAGAAGCACTCTTACTGCGCCCTAAAGGTCCTGATGAATTCCGGGGGCCCGTTGGTCTCGGGTACGTCAACTTTGTACTTTTCCCTCATGCGCCAAACACGCCCTGCCATTATTGCTGCCATGGAAATTTAAAATTGATGAATACATGCAAAACTCCACTGTGTCACACACACACACACACACACACACACACACACACACACACACACACACACACACACACATTGATTGGTATATCTGTGTAACATGTATATAGCTTGGGTTTAACATTGTTATCAGCAGGGTCGCGGACAGGCAGAGGCGTAGCTATGATATTTTGCGCCCGGGGACGAGCTATAAAATTGGCGCCCCAGCCCCCTCCCCGTTTAATCATTTACTTATTATAATGTAACGTTGTAAGCCCCACCCTAGCTACGCCTCTGCAGGCAGGGTATGATAATTAGGGAGTTTAATCAGGTGGTACACAGCCGTCACAATTTGCAATTCATAAGGGCCTACTGGAGAATTTATCCTAGGGCCAACAATCCTGTCCGCGGCCCTGGTTAGCAGTTACATAAATCTCCAAAATAAAATTTGTTTCAAAACCATTTCAAGCCCTTCCAGGGCATAAGCAACACATAAAAAAGGAAAACACAGTCTTGTGTGTGTGCGTGTGTGTGTGTGTGTGTGTGTGAGAGAGAGAGAGAGAGAGAGAGAGAGAGAGAGAGAGAGAGAGAGAGAGAGAGAGAGAGAGAGAGAGAGAGAGAGAGAGAGAGAGAGAGAGAGAGAGAGTGCATGACTTGGGGTATAACAGCTAACTAGTGTTTAACATCTACTCACCGATTTGAAGAGAATGCGCAATTGTTGTGGCCCCAAGAAGGGCTACATCTTCCAACTCTATAACCATTTTTGGCTATTTTGCAATCCTTGCAAAGTTTTAAGTTTGTATCTCTTGAAACAAATCAAATTTTAAGATAATGTTTCAACAGATGTGCACTTGCCGTCATATACATGAAAAGAACTACTGACGCATGTACTTTTTTTTCATTATCCATCTGGTCTACGCCACTCAAAAAATTGGGGGGGGGAGTGCCAGACAAGTATCTGCTATATGTACTAAAATGATAGTTTCAAGGTGTACTCTTGTAATATCGTTTGCAACGACTTTACGAATGTGTTGAAATATAAGGCATGCAATTCTAAATGGAAATTTCTATGTGATAATAGTAACTATTTATCGCCATAATTGCTTGTTACTCCACCGGGTTTCGTATCGTTGCTTACACTTGACCTGCCATACATGCCATACATGTACATGTATGACAGGTGAATTGAAAACAACGATTCGAGCCCAGGTGGTTACTCTATTGTCTAAAAAAATTCATACCCGTACCAAAAAATCCCCGTGCCCAAAACACGTTATCTTAGATAAATCTGGCAGTTATTCATAAAATAATATTATATTGTTAGAATTGTGATTAGAATTGCAATATATATATATATATATATATATATATATATATATATATATATATATATATATATATATATATATATATATATATATATATATATATATATATATATATTGAAATTTTTCTTTTTCGAATTTAACCTGGAAAAATGTGATTCCTGGGGACTAAAATGTGTAACCCAAGAAAGAAAAAAATTAGTACTAATGTCCCGCATAGGATAGGAAAAATTTAGCTTTTGTATTTGAAGAAAATTTCACGTTCTTTTGTTTTGTAAATAAATATGAGAATTACACATCAACAAAAGTGATAATGTTTTATATATGATGCTATGCGATGTTGAGATTTGACTACTAAAATGCTCATATATTGCAAAGATGACGAAACCAGTATAATGACCCGCCGATTTGGCTATATTTTTGGGGTAAATAAGAGTTTATTACTGTTGATCCCTATGTGTGTGTATGTGTGTGTGTTTCGGATTTTTTACGTAGCTTTCAAAAGATTTCAGATATCTGCTGTGTGACAGTTTATAATGATGTCTAGCATTGAAGCATCATGCTGCAGACATGTAGCATCATGTCCCGCCAAGTCACATTATCGTGACACCAGGCTGACCAATCCTAACAATAGCTTCATAATGCTGAGCGTCAAGCGAGGCAGTGATAGTACCATTTTTATGTCTTTGGTATGACTCAACCGGGGTTTGAACAAGCGACCTCCCACATCAGAGGCAGACGCTTTAACCACTAAGCCAACGACTGGATCGGGATATCGTGTTTCATTTTATGATAAATAACTAAAGGGATCAAAGTTGAATTTTTGATCTTTGAAGAAAATTTAATCTTCTGTTGTTTCTTTTTTAAAAAAATAAGGGAATTAAACAGAAACAAAGGTAATAATGCATGTATTATACAGGCTGTACGTCTTAAAAATTGATTTTTGACATCTGAAATACTCACCTATTGCAAAGATCACAAAGCCACTATAATGACCGTCTGAACAACTAGCTTTGCCTTGTCTGTACTTTGTCAGAAAAGAAAATATTGGTATCCACAGATTTCAAAAGATGTTTGAGATATTCATTTTATTTTATTTCCAAAATGACTGCAATTTAACTTTTAGTTCCCAACCTAGCTTGCAGGGCCAGTGCGATTGCACCTTGAACAGCTCACAGAGTAACTGTTTTAGATAAACGTGTCATGCAGTATGGAGCCGTTCAGTATGGAAAAACACAACATCATTATGTAATTGTAAAAATAATGGAGATAAAATGAGCATATAATAATTCTACTTATTATATGTTCATCTTTGTTCTCCATTAACTTTACATTGTAGACATGTGCAATATATTTTCCCATAATGTACTGCTGCCTGACAAGTGTCTAAAAATAGTATCAGTTAGGAACTACTTTTGATTGTAAACAATGTACCCTCACGCAACATATGCCGGAGCTTTTGCTTTATTAAATTTATCTTTAGTTAAACTAAACAATACAAGCCCCGTTCTAGGGCTAGGCGAACGAGGCAACCGCCTTAGATCTAGCGCTTCTCTGCAATGCATTTTTGCTTGCTCAGCGTTCATCGCTTGCTGCCTTGGGCCCCACTCATGCTAGGGTCGGGCCAACATATACCACATTCTCCTTATTGCAAAAAAAAAAAAAAAATGAAATTAATGTAATATTTCCTAAACTATATTTTGTTCTGTATCTTGATAATTTCTAATAAAAGAATTTATATTTTCCCCACCTTATAATTACAAACAACTACTGACAGATCTGAAACACAGGCCCAGCTGCATCAAGGCCCTTGTACTTTTAAAGGACTCAGTATCATCTACAGATCTCTATGCAGACGACACAACATTGTCAGACATCCAAAACACAAAACAAGAACTCGAAATTTCTTTACAGAATGCCTTAAACAAACTAGAATACTGGTGCACATGCAATGGCATGGTAGTTAATACTGGTAAAACTAAAATATTACTTATCTCAACACGGAAAAAAACCCCTAAAACTTTATAGTGATGAACTATGTCTGACATGGAAGGATAAAAGGTTGCAAATGGTCTGTCACGATAGTCTACTTGGTGTTTTGGAAGATAATAACCTATCATGGACTGAACATATCAAACATATCAGTAAAAAAAGTCAATTCAAGTTTATGGCTTCTCAGTAGGATAAGACACTTTCTTCCGGAAAAGCACAGAAAACTATTTTATAACAGTTACATACAACCCTATTTAGACTACTGTAATAGAGTATGGGGTAATTCAAATGACAAAAACTTAGCAAAGCTGGCACATCTCCAAAAAAGAGCTTTTGAGTTAATATCAATCCAGAAAGAAAGCAAGGAAAATTTAGTTGGTAAGTTAAAAATACTACCTAAGAAAAGCCAAATTAATGTACAGGATAGCCAATAATAATGCTCCTGAATATTTACAATCACTATTCAAGTATAGGCTACCTGGAAATACTCCCCACCTGCAATCAATGTCTACCAAAGTGAATTATTTAAAAAAAGTCTCCAATACTCTGGAACTTTGCTCTGGAATAATATTCCAGTTGAGATTAGAAATGCCCACTCTATTTCCTCTTTCCAAACCCAGTATATACAATGGCTTCACAGATGCAGCAAAAATAAATAAATTCCTTTAAATAAGGGCCTCAAGGTAGATTAGTTCTTAGCTAATTGAGTTACCCTCTTTAAATAAAGTCATAATAATAATAAAAAAAAGGCCAGTCCCTCAAGTCACATATGCCTGTACATTGCAGTGAAGGGACTGATGTCCATCTGGGTAAAATGATTTTTCAGGCATTCAAGTTAAAAGCATGTCTTTGTTTTAACTGTTGCATGTTGAAAACATCCCTGATATTGTTCATCAATGAGAATATTTTCAAATTAGCTGCTATGGTAAACAAGTTAGATGTCAACTCGACATCATTTTCATTTAGTACAAAGTAGACATAATTACAAGTCTCGTGTGAAAAACCATTGTCATAATGATCATCCATTAAGGGAGAATAGTAGTGGCAAGATTTTTTTAAGACAGTCAACATTGCAGCCATATTGGATGTACAGCTTAAAGTAGCATTTTTATTTATGACAAGCTAGGTATCATAAAAGGTCCAATCATGGAAACTAAATGTTGATTTAGCCATCCTTTTGGAGAGGAATAAAAATAATATTTTCAAGATATGACTTTCCATTTAGGATGAGAAGTAATAACTAAATTTTCAATATGGCCACTATGGTGGCCATGTTGGCTGCCATATTGGTATCATTTTAAGATCAAGCTGACATCGACTTAAGTCTTCTGGTGACTCTTTGGTCAAATACAGTTGTGGTTGTAAGATACGGCTGCCATATTATATAACAGATCAATTTTATTTAGGAACAACTAGAAATCATTAAGTCTTGTAGTGGAAATACAACATTGATGTCACATTGCATTTAGGAGGAACAGCCATATCAAAATTTTTAATATGACTGTAACCATAATGGATGTCAGATCAGCACCATTTTCATTTATGACCAACGCAGACAGGATAAGAAGGCTTTTAGTGAAACTCCATGTGGATATGACTGTCCTTCAGTAATTAAACCAATGGCAAGATTGCTGTGGTGGTAATAACAGACATGAGATTGGCACCATTTTCATGGTCATGATATGACCATCCACACAGGAGTAGAGGTAACTTTGCAAGATGACTTCTGTGGTGGCCATAATGGATGTCAGGTCAATATCATTTTTATTTTGGACCAACTAACAACATGAGAAGTCTTTTAGCGAAAACTCCATGCTGATATGACCCTCCATTCAAGATGAGTAGCAATAACTAGATTTTCAAGATGGACAATAAAGAGAAGTAGTGGTAACTGATGCATGATGGACAACATTGTATCCCAAAAACTCTTTTGATCAGCAAAGCTAACAATCCATCACCAAACTTTAGCTTCCGTAGTGTGCCTATTAAGATAAAGAATAAGAAAAAAAGTACACAAGATCATTAGTTTGACACTTTTAATGTACAAATGAATTTCAGGCAGTAAGAATAAACATGGAATGGCAACACAGTAAAAACTGTACCATGAAAAAATTGATCTATTAAATGCATATGATAGTCCAGAAGGGTAAAATCTTTAAACAAAATTTTATAAGGAGACTTCATTTCAAATCAGGAAGATTTTTATCGACCCAATTTGTATGCATAAAGGACAAAAATAACAATATTTAAACACATTTCAACATATATATATCTAACCATGATTAGACAGAAAACAACCTAACAAATTCAAAAGAATAATAAACTGTTGCAAATAGTGTTAGTGAAAATAAATATGAAGCTTGTTTGAAAGCTGTGTCAGTCAAAAAATATGTAACTCACTTGAAAACAGTGTTAGTTAAAATAAAAAAGCTCATCTGGAAAAAGTGTCAACAAAATAAGTAACTCACCTGAAAATAGTCATAGCATAATGGTTTAATGAAAAATATATATCGCATAAAGATAAAAATATGTACCAAATTTTGCAGCTATCCAGTGAGAATTGTGGAGGTTGTTACATTCCAAAAACTCAGTCATATATTCCACTAACTTGGCTGTAACTTAAAATAGACAATGACTGTTTACAAAACAAAATGAACATATGCATCTCTAGATGATGACTACAACATGAGCCAAGCTTGATAAACTGCATGAATAGTTGCCCTCACCAGATTCAGTCATACACTACATTTGGCTGCATAACAAAATGGGCAACAACTCTAAACCGCAGGACAGTAATTTTTTTTAATGTGCCGATCTTCAAATAAAGACCATAACATGTATAAAGTTTCTGTCCCTTTATTAAATAATAAAGAAAACAAATTCTTGTACAATTTTAATTATCATAATAATAGTACTGTAAAAAAAATTATAAAGTCAATGAAAAGCATCCAAGGTCTGAAAAAATCTAGCAATTTATGACCAACAGTAATCTGGACCAACAGGCTTTTGGTTGCAGATATCTGATGTGATCTAATTAATGGGCATCTGAAAAAACCCTGAGAGAAATGATTTAAAGTTTTAAGTGACATTAGCATAAAATGGTGGAGAAATCAAATGATTTACTATCACTATATGATGCAGACATAAAATATATGTTACTTATCAGAACAGTACTTTTTGTTGTCTCGGGCAATGTATACTCAGTCAAGAACATCACAGAATATGAACTCAAATCACAAAGGATTTCATCTCATGTTTATACAATTAGAAGTATCAGGAAAAGCAATATATTTTTTCAGTCTCATGTTTATACAATTAGAAGTATCAGGAAAAGCAATATATTTTTTCAGTCACTGAATTTAGCTAGGTTAGGCTTTTTTGTGTATCTTCATGAAATAAATTGTTAAAAAGGAATGATTTTATTTTTGGAAAATCAAAAGCACATGTTAGGACAAAACTAAAGCTCTTTACCTGAAGGATTACACACATCATAAAAGTGGTGGGAGTAAAGATGTCCATAATACTGTAAATTGTATTATAGCTGAATCTTGGTGGGTATTTACATCAAGTAACTGCTACAAAGAGTTGCCCTTTCATATATACTTAACTTGTCTGCATAGAATAAAAAAAATTAACATTTCTCTCAACTTTTCAAGACAGTCCTTGATTAACCAGTAGCAAACAACATGTGATCCCTCATTTCTAAAACATGGTAAGTGATAAACAATTTGCACATTGAGAAACATACCAATGTATACATATAAAGCTAGTCTAAAA